TAACTTGGAAAAATTAAATAAGGCTTTATGCTTTGGTTAGAAATCATCTAACCAAATAATATATAGAGAGACTGAGCTCTTCATGCAACCTAAATGAAAGTGTATTTGGACAAAATTTTTAAATGCTATCATTTTCCTAGAAGGAACTAATCAAGACAGGAAAATTTATGTCAAGCTAACAGACTTGACAAGAAAATGTGTTAACAGAATCCTACTTACAGGCATCTGCTTTGTGATCTTCAGGAATAGAAAATGAGCCCCTCATGACTATAAACACAGCTATGTAAAAATAAAAAATGTAATGCAATAGTTGCATAAACGTAATATCTGAGCCATCAGCTTTGAAACTTTGTGTTTTAAGAAAAATACTATATTGGCAGGTTCAGCAATGAAAAAAATCCGAAAATAATATGTTGATAAGATTTTTGTTATATAAGTGAATTACTCAAATGCCAAAATAAAGCCAGCTGCATTACTCAGGAAATTAGCTAAAATATATTTTAAGATGTTGGATTTTAATTTTAAATATAGTTTTACATTTGGGAGAGAGATTTAATTACAGTTACATATACTCATTTAAAATATAGAGAGTTTATATAGACTACACAACCACAGACAACAATTAAAAATGACTATAAGTTGCAGTTTGTGATTTTGCTTATTAAGTAACTTGTCCCCTCATTTTAAATAATCTATCTACATTTTTAAAACAGCTTGATAGCCTATATGTCTATATTTGTCTGATTTTTTCTGCAAATTGCAAAAACAACTTTTCAGTTAACACTTTGTATATTATTAATTTGAAACCATTTCTGTCTTCAAATCAAGTGGGGAACACTGTTTTGCAAAGTTCATTATTTAATTCACTAAAGAGAGCATGTGCACATGTGTGAGAGAAAAGTACCCTCAGTAGGGTCTTGTCACACCGCAGTCCCCTGCCCCCAGCCCTCCAGCTCACACAGCTCTTTGGCATGAACACCCAGCATGTTTCAGGTTGACTGGGCAGGATCATTAAACACATGGCAGGCCATGTGGCTTTCAGCACACTTCACTGGACCACGGAGGTCAGGCCAGACAACAACTTGTAGAAAGTACTTACTCCATCTGCAGTTTCCTAAAATTCTTAATTTCTCTGAAGCCTTAGGTCAAATAAATTATTTTAGAAGAGTAAATGCAATGGAAAAAATAATCTGGACAAAAAAGAACTCTCTGGGGTCAGCCAAGTGGCATGGTGGTTGAGGTGGCTGGATTCCACATGGCCGACCACGTGGTTCTAGTTCCAGACCTGGCAGCTTGAAAGACAAGCTGAGAGTGCACGTGTGTGCATATGTGCCCAAAATCCTGAGCAGAGAATGGAGAAGGAACTGTGGTGTAGCCCTCACCCACCCCTTCCCACCCCCCGGGAGGTGATTTCTCACTTTCCCTTTTTCTGTCCTCTCTGGTAAGCTCAAGTGGCCTACAGCAAAACAAAAACAAAAACAAAACAAGACAAGACAAAACAAATAAGCCTGACTTTTAGAAAGTCATTAGGGGAGGAGGAGTAATAGTCATCACTTTGTATAGGCCAAGCTGCTTGGAGGCCTCTTGTCATCAAATACCTAGCAGCCTCCTACATGAGCACAGGAATGGCTTTGGGGTGGGGTGTAGTTTTATATGAGAAATTAAAGCCATTTTTTTCCCCCAAGAGCGAACAGGCTTGACCACAGAATCTTCTTCCCAATTAGTCAACACTTGCCAACTATTCCCAAACAGCAGTTGCAATTTAAAGTCATGAGCCCCAAATCTGATAAAAACGAAGGTGTGAAGGGCCAAGTACATATCTTCTCACTGGAGGACAAAAGCTCAGCCAAATGCCTGCTACTGGTAACTGTCACTGTGCCCATGAGGACACCCTGATCTGGCTGACGGCAGGCACTGAGGACACATCTGTGGGAGTCAGAGCTGAACACACCAGAAGATCCCACAGTAAGTACCAACAGTGCGGTCATCCCAAAAGTTGCTTATTTTTCAGGCTCTTCCAACTTTTCATTCAGTTGGAGCTGACAGTTTCACTCCAGTTTCTGCTAGATTTCCAAGCTCCTTAAAAAGTACTTCCATGGCTGAAGTATCAGAGAGGCCTGAGGACAGGAGCTGGTTAAGTCGGGAACAAGGCAGTGTCCAATTGCAAAAGCCAAGTCAGCTTATTTCTCCCCTCCTCCCCGCTGCATGCCACTGCTGCCACTACCAGTTTTTCAGGAGAAAAGGAATCCTCGGACTAATTCAGTCTGTTTTGCTCTATACTTAGAAAGGCGAGGGGACTTGGAAAAAGTCTTCTCCCTCTCCCTTTGCTGCCACTGTGCAGATGGACCTGACCCATTAATTTGCATGCGCAGAGATGGAAAAAGACAGTAATGATATTAAATAGGCAACGGAAGCAGTCAGGTACAAACAAAGCCAATGACTTTGGTGCCTTTAATTAAAAAACTAAAACTAAAAAAGAAAACAAAATCAAGGATAAAGGGGTGGTTTGGGAGAGGATTTTGATCTCTTGTCACCTAGCAGACAGGTGTATATGAACAGGGGCCTTTGGAACACTCCAGCCTTAATCCCACGCATGAAAACACTAGTGTGTAGGAGGCAGAAATGAAGGCCAAAGGTAGGAAAACAAACAGCATTCCCTTCCTGGGCCCCAGCAGTCATGCAGATCAGTGGGCACTGGGGGCATCTCTGTCACTCCATTCTCCCTGGATACTACCACCTCCATTCCCCAACTGAACCTCCTTACTCACCTCGCCCCACCAAGTGCACAGGGTCAGTCTCACTGTAATCAACTCTACGGTTTCGCCTGTCGTCTCCCCCAGGTGGCTGACCTACTGTCCCAGAGATGCCTCTCCCCACCCACTGTGTGTCAGCCTTCATCTGCTCCTCGGGTCTGTTTCTGACTTGGGGCTGGCCTCCTGATGGCTTCTCCCGCTCTGGGTCTCTGTGTTTTCTCTTCACATCCCCTGACCTACCTTTCTTCTACCACCATTCCTTCCCACGCCCTTCCCTTGGAACAGGCAGGCTTATCTCCCCATCTTGCCAGCCGAGTTTCTCTCCGCTGTTTCTGCTCTGCTGCCTGGGTATCTGGCTTCTCCCATGTGGGCCTCCCACTCAGCACTAGTGTGGGCTCTTCACTGCGGACGCACCTGTCTGGGAGCAGCTCCTGACACACGCATGTCTGCATTTCTGGTCTCTGCCTCCTGCTGCTCTCCTAGCTACACTTGAGATTCTTTCTCCCTGGGATGGAGTGATCTCGTGTGGAAGGGTGTCTTCCTCTCTGTGTATGCACCCTTCCCGCCATCCCCAACCCCACTACACAAAGTCTGTGTTGTTCCTCATATGCTCTGGTGGGAAATCTATGTGTCCGGGTGTGTACACCCAGTTCTGTGGCAGCCCTTCTGAGAGTACGCTCACCTCTGAGTCTCTCCTGCTGTTCACACGTACTCTCTTGTGAGTTCCCAGTGAGCGCACACTGATGTTCGAGGCCTCTCTCAACCAACACTAGTTACGGGTGGCTCAGGCTCACATCCTCTGGGAACCACAGTTCATGCCCCTCCTGTACCTCTGCCTTCCACTCTGTGCATTTAAGGTGCCTAGCACTAGTGGGAGCTCAACAGATGTTAATTCTTTTCTCCACTTTTATCTGAATCATGATGTGAATCTGAGCTTGGTGTCCCTGTGCCTGTCTTATGAGACCAGCTGGAGTGCATTCCCTGATAAGGACTGTGCTCTATATCCCAGGATGCCCCGTGGCATATATCTCTCCCTCTGACTGTCTCTCTCCTCGCCACGGAAAATGTTACAGTCACCCATATGGTAGATTCCTCCCTCAGACAACGTGTCCACCCGTCTCCCATCTACACAGTACTGCATGGCAAACAAACGGCTTCCCTGGTTGCCACGTCTCTGTACGGGTGGCTTTCTCTCCCACTTCTTTTTCAATGCGAGCGTTTCTGGATTTGGACTCCAGCTGCGGCGTTTGTGCGTCTGAGCCTCTCCCTGCACTCGGCACAGTGTGTGTGTCTGTACGTGTCGGCTGTGTTTATGGGTTTCTCTCAGTCGTCTCTGCCCAGGATGCAGGGTATCCCCGCCGCTTGCACAAGCCTTCGGGTTCGCTCACTGTTTCTACACCTCGGCGGGTCGGCCCGAGACGCGCCGCGTCCTTCAGGGTACGCAGGGCGCACGCGAATTTCCCTCCCCAGCACCGCTGTCTCGCTTTCCGATGAGCATTAGGCGTGTGTGTGCTCGGGGCTGTCCCCGGACGCGGGGTTGGTTCGTGTCCATCTCGCGCCGCGCCGGGCGTCTCCGGGAACGGGAAGCACCCGCGCCCTAAGAGTGCCAGGTGTGCCCCACTTCTCCCGTACGCGGAGCGCCAGTGTCCCCGCCTGAGCACACGGCGTGTCCCTCTCTGCGAGCACACCCTGTGCTCCCCGATAACAGGGCGCCCGAGTCCCCATCCCCGAGAGCACTCGCGGTGTCTCCGAGCCCGGGTCCAAGGTGTGTCCCACCCCAGACCCGAGAGCCGGCGTTCTGTGGCTGAGGGTTCCCGGTGCTTTTACGTGACCCCGAAAACACGCCCGGCTTTTGCTGGCAGGTCCTCCGGGGTCTCTCCCCGTTCGACGCGCGTCCCCACCCCCGCGGTGGCAGTGTGGGTCACCTCACTTCTCTCCCCCGGCCTCTTTGGCTCCTTGGAACCGAGCAAGCCAGGAAAC